TTTTGTTTTTTTTTTTTAATTCCACGTGGACGGAGTCCGAGCGGAAGCTAGTGGAATATAAAGATTTATTGTACTTTGTTATTTACCGCGTGGATTTTGATGTAACGCAAATTTAATAAGATATTGCACATTTTGAAAACGATATATCTAAACATTTGAATAAAGTTGACTATAGCACTTGTATTTTAAACATAATAGAGCTAATTTGGTTTTAACCAAATAATAGACTAATGTATTTATTTGCTTTGTATTTTTAGGTATCTTAGCTCTTTACAATGGATTAAAACCTACTCTAATAAGAACAGTTCCGGCGACCGCTGCATTATTCGTAGTGTACGAATATTCCAAGAAATTTATGCATCAATCGTTTGGAGATTAATTATTAACTTTTATATGACAATAATGAATACTCTGTACAGCATTTATGAATAGTTCTGCAAAAAGTATACAAGAACATACTGTTATCTCTCTTTTTCCAAACAGAACGACAGAGATGTCGGTATTTTTGTGTAGTTTGTTTAGTTTAGTCAATGTAAGTTTACGGTACTGGCAAGCTACTTCCTAAAACAATAATTTATTTTATATTAAACAAAGACAAATATATTTTAAGTTATAAAAATCTTATGACATGTTGAAATGTATAATTATTATTACTCGTGTTTTAATTTTCCTTTAGTCCAATCGACACGGAAGGTCTCGACTAATGAGGTTATCTGGATTATCTTTTCTTGCGATATTTATTGCGCATTGCTGTTTGCTGCTATTTTTAAACTCCATTTAATTATGTCTATTTTAATAACTATATACCCTTGCAATAAAATAGTAATAAAGTACATTCCAAAAAATTTAGAAATTAATGATTTAATAATCATCATGTTACTATTATTAGTTTGGATGGATTTTTCTTCCTACGTATCTTCAAAGCGCCTCAACAAATTTTGCGGAAAAAACGGGTGTACCGGCTGTACATTGAGTGGTTTTATCTCCTAACCTCTGTATAAGGAGTAACAAAAATAATGATGAAAGTAATAACTTTTGTTTGTAGTATAAAAATTATCTATTATAAATACTACCCTATCAAGATTTTTATATCGTATAGATATGAAATAGTATCGATTTAAATCGTGCCATGAATTTTGCCTACTGGTTGTCGTTGCGCACTATATGGTGACTTTAAATTCTTCTTATTTCTCAAAGTTTTTAAAATAAACTCCAGTCAGAGGATTTCTGTTGGCTCTGGAAGGTCTCCGTCATATAGCATAAGTACAAGAAGGGGCATTAAATCGAGAGCACTAAATGACGCATGCATTGTGTCGCAAAGGGTAAGTGTAAGTATGATGGGTGATTGTACGATCGTGTTATCAAACATCAGCATCAGCCTTTATCTGCCCACTGTTGGACTTCCCCAATACCTTCCACCTCATCACACGCCTGCTATAAATTAATTACAACATTTATTGTAGGTACTTAGTTAAAATGTGTATATTTTGCAACTCAGCAGTAGACCAATTAAAAATATATTAAAATCTTGTCTAAGAACGCGTAAAAATCAATTTATAAAATTGTTAATACTCTGTGACAGGCAAATAAGAGCCAAAACAATTCTTGTCAATTATTTCGAGCAATTATTACAATCGTTTTTTATTCTACCACAATATTTACTTTAAATAATGGCGACAGATGAATTTCAAATTCAAAATATCTACCGTTATTCTAGAAAATCTTTTAGGAATCATCAGAACTCTCCTATAGATAACTATGCACCGAGCCCAAGGGAGGACCCTGATTCAGATGCGGCCGATTCATCGCCCAGAAACGACATAAGATTCGATGAAATAAGGCTCGCCACCGCCGGCTGCAGTTGCGATTTAGACCCTGAAACCGAAATAGCCAACATTCTTCATAAAAAATGTCCCGTCATTGCTTTGGCACAGCAGCAACTTCAGAAGCTTTTAGACGAAACAGACAGATTTCTTTGCGATAACACGAGGTTGAATTATAAGTATGTTATATTTGCAAAATGTAATAATTCAAGGGTAGTGAACTTCAGATATTAACAGCGGTAGACGCCAGCAACAGAATCTATTTCACGAATGGGTTGTTTCGCTCGGTGCAATATCATGACCACACAGAAGACGCATAAAGTAGAAGCAATACCTTGTTGCATCTGTTTGCGTGGAGGCCTATCTTTAGCCCTCTTTCGTTTACCACACTTTTCTTATAAAGAAAAATAGATTTGACGGTACAAGAGATGCATAGGAAAGGAAAATATCCTCTTTATGTGCGGTCCCTCCTCCGTCTACAAAGGGTAAGAACGCGTCTGCATTTACGGATGTTTATAGGTAGCGGTTGCATCGCTATTATGGCGAATTCTCAATCTACAGTAAGGATGACGAATCAACCAGTACTGTGTTGTCCAGTATCTCTTGATCTCACTGACTACACATTTTAATTAGAAGTTTTTTCAGGTCTCCTTACGATGTTGTCTGCTTATGCAAAGAAACCTTACTGAACTTGAACAAATGGGAATATGTTATTATTATTTTACTTTTGTCTGCATTCCTGTTTGGTCTAATCATAGGGGCAACCTCCTGTAAGTCTCAGCATGGCAAATTTAATAGCCATTTATTGACATGCATAGATAATATGCTCACCTTTGATTCTTACACTAATGATAAAAGTTTTCGCGCCATCACATAATCTATACAATTTTTAATTAAGAAATACAAACAGAGTAAGTTTGTTTTTTAAGAGTTACCTGTTGTAATGAATGATATCTCTTTTTATTTTTTCATTAGTTATTACATTTCGAAATAAAATATCGATAAGATTTAAGTTGTTTTTTTTTTATAACATAAGGTGGCAAATGAGCAAGCGGCCACCTCAATCCGCAAAATGGCGAAGTGACCGTTGCCCATAGACAACAGACATCCGAGATCGCAGATGCGTTGTCTACCCTTATCCGACGGAGGAGGAGACGCACATATTGATATTTCTCCTTCCTATGCATCTCCACCGTCAAATCCACTACCCCTTCCCATCCTCTCCTTTAAAGAAAAGGGTGGTAAAGAGTAAAGACTTAAATTAATTATATGAAAGTTCATCAGTTGTAAAGTATGCGAAAGAAATGGTTTCTATATCTTTGTAGGCTCCTTCGTATCTAATTATGGGTTGCACTCAATAACCAAATATAAAGTAAAACATTGTAATAGAAGTCTCTTTTGGGATCACATAATTACTACTGGAAACATTTAAATTTAATAAACAAGCAATATGTTACAGTATAGTATTCTACAAATGTTTTTTAAATGTTATATGCTCTGACCCCATCATTTCTATGGTGAAGGGTAACATTGAGATGCAACCTGCACTTTCTATAAAGAAAATTAAAAACTGAGTCGATATGGTTAGTTGACTATAGCCTAGTCAGCCCTAACTTGAGGTCAAATCTCAAGACTTTAGTGGGGACATATATTGAGCTGATGATAATATCCACTGACACAAACTATGGATCAATGAATAAAGGTATATAAATTACAAAAAGCTACGTATCCCTCGGGAACTGGACATTTCTCGGGGATTAAGCTTATCCCATGTGTACTCCAGACTTTGTTTTATATCTGTGCCAAATTTCAATAAGATATGTTGAACCGTTGCAGAATGATCGAGTAAATATTAAAAAACGAAATTAATGAATCTCACAGGAACCGTAACTATTCCAGGGATAAAAAATAGCCTATGTGTTCTTCCAGACTATGCTCTAAACCTGTGCCAAATTTCATGGAGATCCGTTCAGCCGTTTAGGCTACAAACGCTAACACACATCCATCCATCCATCCATCTAAACTTTCGCATTTATAATATTAGTAAGATCTACCGCAATATGGTGATTTAAGTCTTAAACATTGCTACAATCAGGGGTAGAAAATGTAATTTAAAATAATCATTATTTACAAGACTTTCTTTAATGCAAGATGTTTAATTATTTTTTACAATGATATTGTTCTAAAGCAGGATGCCAAATGTAGAAAACTTAAAATAAAATTAGTCAATATTTGTAGCATAAAGATAATTATTAATAATTTATACTTTTATACACATATTAATTTGAAATTGGATGTAGTAAATATCTATAACAAAACAAATATTAAATACAGCAGGATCTCACTATTCACATGGTTATATTTTAAAAATTTCGCCACAACAAAAAATCGAGAGGAAGATATCAAGTGGTAAATACATTTACTAATTAAAATAAAAACAAGCAAAAGTTTAAAAACACCTATTTAAGACTGTATGGCTTGTTGGATACTTCAAATAGTCAAAAATTTTGTCATGAATATTAAAATGTGTTAATTTCTTATGTCCACAGTGTGAACAAATCATAAAGAAGGAAATTCTGCTGTACATTGTAAGTTAGTCTGATATGCCTTGTAACACTTCAGAAATCACTACTAATACTTGGAATTTTATTTTATTTACTTTTAACATAAATTAAACTAACTTTTAAATGGATTAATTCGAAAAACTAAGCTAACAACCATCAAGTTTATTTTTCCTCACACCATTCATTCTCCTTGCGCACCTGGTCTTCCTCAGCTGCCGTGAAATCATTCTTGATATTAAAGGTTTTGCGAATCTCTTCAGGTGTCTTACCCTTGATCATATTGGCTACAGTTTTACATGTCACATCCAGTAAACCCTTAATGTCAAGGTAATTAGCAGCCAATATTAATTCAAACAAAGTGCCTTGGTCGACTTTTAAAAAGTCCGCATCCCACGATGAAATATCATCAGTGCGCTTTTCTTTGTTCTCATCGTCCTCGGGTAATGGAGGGTCATCTTTGTGATAGGTTGCCCATTGAATAACCTTTTTGAGAATTGCAGAATTGACGTTTGGTAGCGGAACAACTTCCTCTTCGTCATCATCCATGCCCAAATCTTCCAACATTGTCTTTATTGTTACAGAACATTTTGCGATCTCGACATCAACATCAAAAATTTCATTATCGGATGATTGAAGCTTTATAACAGGCATCTAAAAAGAAAATAAATACTTAATTCAGGGGACGCCATTTTCATAAAATATAAATAGGAGCTCAGGGTACCTTGTGCCTGGACGATAAAGTAAAACTTATAAATAGCCAGGAACAATGCTTTACCTTAGCCAAAATGTTGTCTCTGCGTGTTTAAAAACGTTTGAATTTAGATCTGTATTAAATCGAGAATGATCGATAATTAAAGTGGCAATCAAATCAAAAACAATGATCGGCTTACTTCACAATTCACAGGTTTTTTGCTGTTGTAGGGATGGGACATGGAATGGTTGTTGATTCACCAACTAGTTGAATCAACCGTTAATCACCCTTCAACGATTTAACCGTTGAACATTTTTCATTCAACTAGTTCAATTTTTCGAAAACATAGTAATTTCCGATCGCTTTTTTTGCAACCAGTCTTTCTTTTTTCAATGAATGACAACAAAATCGACAAATGCAACTAGTTCTTCGACTAGTTGAAATGACCGAATAAACTCAACTTAACTTTGTCGGTTTCGTTGACGCCAAAACTGAAATGCCGAAAACGCCAAAGACACATCCCTACTTTTAACAACCATGATACAATGTTGCCATTTAAGTTTTCACTAAATAGCAATATCTTTTTGATTGCCATATTTACAACTTTTGTTTACAATAGCGTGCTATGAATCTAATACAGATATTGTAATATAGAGAGAAATTCCAAGTTTCTATTGTGTGTTGATTATCGAAAACAAGAGGAACCTACTTTACAGTAACTTTTTTGCCACTGGAGACTTCATCTTGTTGGATGTATGGGTTGGATCTATGCATTTGCTTCCCGAATCAATATATAGTATAGTGTACTAGCTTTCACCCGCGACTCCGTCCACATGGAATAAAAACAAAACAAAACAAAGTAGCCTATGCGTTCTTCCAGACTATGCTCTAAATTTATACCATCGAAATCCATTCAGCCGTTTAGTCTATATCCATCTAAATTTTCGCAAATATAATATTAGTATTTAGTATGATTGAAATATTGTTCATCTATCAAGAACACAATAAGCTAAACCAATCGCCATAGTATCGGTACCTAATGTAGGCGAAAGTTACAAGATTTTTAACTTGAAAACTAATCTAAGCTAAAAAGCCTAAAACCTTACATTTTTGGGGTGGTTTGAAATAGTGTCAGCAATACGGCCTTAAACTTGTTTGGCTCCTTTTGCTAAGAAATATAATATCTAAGAAACAGTAACATCATAAAGGAAGATGTCCGATAAGGGATATTTTCAAAACAATTTTAAAGAGTCTACATAATGTTTATTATGTAGACATTAAACCATATAAATTTATTTTGCTAATACATACATAATTAGTTCTCAAATATGTGTAGTTTTTTTTATAGCATAAGGTGGCAAACGAGCAAGTGGCGCGACGCCAAAATGGCGAAGCGACCGCTGCCCATAGACATCCGCAATTGCAGATGCGTTGCCTACCGTTATACGACGGAGGAGGAGACGCACTTAAAGAGCATATTTCCCCTAGTTAAGTTAAGGCATAGAATTAAAAGACAGGCTGATTGAATACACCATATATATTCATCCAATAAATTGTTCATTACTACAATACATGCTTTCTAATTAACAATTGGTAAATGCAATTTTGATAGAACATTACTAAAATGTAGGTATTTATAAATAAATACCACTACACGATTACTTTTTGGCACAAATCACAATTTTAAATTACATAGGAAAGGACATAAATTCTTTCTAAATCTACTGTCTACACATCATAGTACTCCAAAACATTCAAATAAGTATTTTAACAGCTAATTCATTTTGCGCTATCCAAAATAGTATTTGCTAATTAATTTGGCATTAAAGACAGTAACATTACATAAACATTGCTATTTATTAATCTAAACAATTTCAATTTAAGATTTTAAAAATAGTAAGTCTGATTTAAATAAAGATTTCAGATCATTATCTTCAGAGAACATGAAATAATTATTGAGATAACTAATGTTTCATTACAAATTATTTATAATTATCATTTTAACAAAAAACACTTATCATAAAAATAGGTACAATAAATCCTGTATTGTAAATAACGATTACTTAATAAGTATATTTGTATTATAAAATTTTAAAATCACTAAAAAAAACAATTGTAAATTCATAAAGATATAGACTATTAAAATAAATCACATTACACTGTACTTATCATTGTAAAGTACAATACTAAATGAAAGCAATTCACTGGTAACTATGTAGTATTAGGATTGGACCACTTAGATTATAATGATAGAATAAGTATACTTTGAATTAAGAAAATGGTAAAATTTCAATAAAAATATACTATACCAGCAATAGTAAACTATGCATTGTACACATGTAAAGCTTTTTATTATCTAACATAGCACCTATTCTAATACAAAATATACAAATATAACTGTAAAATTAAAACATTTATCATAAACTTCTACATCATTATAATAATAATTCTTAAAATATATGCAGGAACACCAGTTTGCTTTGCCAAGTCGTAATTATTATCAGATTGTCATGCAAGAACATATTAATTCATATTTTCAAGTCTCTCTTTAAGACGGAAATACACTTTAAGACTGGGTCGAAGTAGAGTAAATAGCATGACCAACAGAACTAAAATCATGCTTGTGTATCTTAATATTTCACCAAAGGACCACCAGCGTGATAAAGTACCAAGTAATATGGTGATTATTCCCAGTGTAAAGGTCAACAAGCCAGCACTAGCATGGATTAGTTTTGTGTAAATTGGTGCGATGTAGTCCTTTAGCTTCAAACTATATAGAGCACCAACACCTCCCAAAGATGTTAAACACATAAAAATCAAGGAAGCTAGCCCAAATTTTGCATGTAAGGTGACAAAGTGTGACTTGTCATGGGCGATTTTATTTGCAAGTATTACAAAAAAGCCAATTAATATAAATACACCAGCTAACATTTGTATAACCCAGTGACGGGCGCTGCGGAGACGAATCGGCATCCATTCAGTTGCAAAGTCTCCTGGAGTTATAGCATTTATTGCAGATGACATTAGAATGATCCACTGGAAATGATAAAATGTTTATTTTAATTTAATATATTTATATTTAATTTCTAACTTCCAAACACTGGGAAATCTAGCAAGAAATTCATTGCATTTAAAATTTGCATATTATTCCGAAATCTTTCTTTTATGCTGTTGATAATAAGACATAATTCCATGATGTTCAGGCTGATGTCAGTGAAACAGCTAAATAATGCATGAAATTCAATTGAAATAGTTGAAATATAATACAATCAAAGAAATTATACATATTATTTCTACTTACCCCTAAGGACATCAGGCTAGGGTGAAATGAGAATAAAGTAACACCATCTTTAAAACAGCAATAAAGTATGATAGCATTGAACAGGACAGCGCAGAAGTTGCTAACCAGAT